CCCCCCCCGCCAAGTCACCAGACCAGCTTTCTGCTCACCAGCCTCAAGATCTTCAAAATTCCGGTTGGGGAAAAGAAAAAGCGCTTGATGCCGTCCCTGAATTTGTACGGGACTTTGGCTCGGCCCTCAGCACGCTTTAGGATCTCTTTCTTCACCTTTGGCCTGTGTACATGATGCGGAGGTGGCTGCGGAGGTGGCTCCTCCAGAGGCCCCGGAGGCTGCTCCGAAGTCTGCTTCGCCGCCGGCACGTCGTGAAGCACTGAGTGCTTGGGAGGTGCTGGCTGCACCGGGGCTGGGCGCTTGGAGGGCCTGGAGCGCTGGGGCAGCGCCGGGGCTGAGGTCTGCTTGGAGAGCTCTGGGGCATCTGGAGGCACACGGGCTGAGCCAGGAGGCACACGGGCTGACTGCCGCACCGAGCGCCCATGTTTCAAGTCCTTTGTAGAGGGCCTGTGTTTGATGCTTTCAGAGGCCATGGTGGGCGTTCGGCCTGGCGCTTGCGTCTGGCCCTGCGGCTCCGAGCAGCACCGTGGCGGCCGGCTTTCCTCGTGAAACCAGCGGCACGCCCCAACGGCTGCCGGCCGCCCGCGCCCCGCGCGCGCACTCGCCCGCAAGCTGAGCTGGCCAGAGACCGCGGATGCCACCCCACTGCTTAGCCTTGGGCCTCAGCGTCTCCGCAATCCCACCGTCCCCCAGCTGCCAGCAAGTGAGCCAGGCAGGGCAGCCCCGCGGCCGTTCAGGCGCACCTCGGCCCAGTCTATTGCGCTTCCCAGTCCCAGGAGCAGTGCTCCCTGCAAGGCCAGTCAGGGTGTGAGAGGGCGCAGGGGTCCCGCAAAGCTCCCCCTCAGCTCCCATACTGAGATGCAAATAACAATGTGTGGAAAAATAACGAAATATTTTTAATACTTAGTATCAACTAAAAAGGGATATAAAATTACAAAATACGTCTTTGGTCATGAGGAGGCTTTTTCTGGTAAGGACCACCGGGATTGAACAGAAGCTTCCGGTAAATAAGGGCCCCATCTGCCATACAGCACACTGCTGACAGGAGTCCAAACACCTGGAAACAAAGACACAGTGTCACTGCAGCCACCAATCACAGCGGTCTGCCCTCCAGCTGGGGCAGAGACTGCTCCCCACATAAAACAAAAACCGGAGGAAACCGGAAACCTTAGACATGGTCCCATTCTCCCAGTACCCACCTAGAGAGGAAGGGAGGGGATAAGTGAAGTGAGCAGCAAGTGGCCATGGACTCTGAAATAAATATTTGTCTGTATTGCTTAACTTTGTGCCTGTGAGCTGGATGTATTGTTTTAAGCCCTACTGACCATATTTAAGGAGCTCTGGTAGCATAGTGCCTAAAGGCACTTGACTGCTAACCAGAAGGCTGGCGGTTCAAACCCACCAGCCACTCCTCGGAAGGAAGGTTGGGCAATCTACTTCCGTAGTGATACTGCCTCGGAAACCCAAGGAGGGGTCACTATGAGTCGGGGCCAACTCGATGGCAAATAACAACAACAACAACAACAACCATATTTAGGGAGCTCTGGTAGCATAGTGGCTAAGGCACTTGACTGCTCACCAGATGGCTGGCGGTTCAAACCCATCAGCCACTCCTCGGAAGGAAGGTTGGGCAATCCTACTTCCGTAGTGATACTGCCTCGGAAACCCAAGGAGGGGTCGCTATGAGTCGGGGCTGACTCGATGGCAAATAACAACAACAACAACAACAACCACATTTAGTTATCAACCAATACTTTCATCCCCAACCTTCAACTGTTTGACTTCCCTGTTACCAAAGAAACTGAAGAAAACTGAAGAAAAGTTAACACTAGCTCGAAATTAAACCGTGGAACAGTAGCTGTTCTTGGAGAACTGGAGTGAAGATGATCCAGAGCAAACCCTCAAAGGCTAGGCTGCCGCTACTGAAGATGTGGGACCCAACCAGGGCCTTAAGAAAACAAAACTGAGGTGGCAGAAATGAAATGGGTTCCCGAGACACTGGTGGCCATCTGGTCAGCTCCAGTCAGCGGCCAGAAGTCAGGCCTTGGTTCCAGACAAGGCTCCCACAGTGTGCACCTATGCACTACTGTTTCCACCTGGAATCTCAAGATGCTGCCTCCTGGAGTCTACTGCCACCTGCTGGGGTCTACCGCCACCTGCTGCGGTCTACCGCCACCTGCTGCTGTCTACCGCCACCTCCTGGGGTCTACCGCCACCTCCTGGGGTCTACCGCCGCCTCCTGGAGGCTACCGCCGCCTGCTGGGGTCTACCGCCGCCTCCTGGGGTCTACCGCCGCCTCCTGGAGGTTACCGCCGCCTGCTGGGGTCTACCGCCGCCTCCTGGGGTCTACCGCCGCCTCCTGGGGTCTACTGCCACCTCCTGCTGGGGTCTACCGCAGCCTCCTGGAGGCCACCGCAATGCAGAACCCCTGGCAACCCTTTCATGACTTGGACACTGCTGGCTCCTCCGCTGGCCCCTCTCCTTCCCTCTCCTTTCGTTCCTGGCAAACTGCAATTCCTCTGCCCAAAAGAAGTCATTTCTTCCTTTTTTCTGTGTTCCACGGCAACATCTGATATACAGCTGTCTGTACTTCTGTCTCCTGTATTAGGCCCTAACCAACTGGTGGATTAGACTCACGCTCTAGCCTAGTGTCCAAAAGCAATGTAGTCAGCCATCCACATCTGTGGGTTTGCATCCGTGGATTCAACTAACTGTGCTTGAAAAATATTGGAGGGGAAAAATAACAAAGCAATTGCATGATCACAGCATCCCTCAAAGGCTGAGGGAGCATAAAGTGCTATTTCCATAGCATTTACATTGTACTAGGGATTATTATAAGCAATCTAGAGATGATTTAAAGCATATGGGAGGAGATGCATAGGTTATATGCAAACACATTTTATATATGGGACTTGAGCACCCGTGGATTTTGGATTTTGGTATTTATGGGGGTTCTGGAACCAATCTCCTATGGCCACTGAGGGATGACCACCAATGTAAGCCACATTGATTAAAATTAATTTTAATGTTTGAAAAACAGTAGCAATTTTTTTAAAGGTGAAGTTAATTTTAATGATGTATTTTATTCAACCCAATACATGCAAAAATTATCATCTTTACATACCAATATAATAAAAGTTATTAATAGATAGCTCTCTTTTTTGTGAGGTAGTAAAATCTAGGGTGTATTTTAAATTTATAGTGTATTTCAACTCTGGCTGGCCATGCTTCCAGGCTTCAGTAGCCACATATGTCTAGTGGCTGTTACGTTAGACAGTACAGCTCTGTATTTTAAGTCAGTACCTGACAAAGTGCACTTTAGGAACAAAGAAATGAATGGGTGGGTAAAGAAGTGAATGAAAAGTAAATTCTATGCTGGGCCCCTTTCTCCAGAGTAACAACAGAAAAAACAAACCCACTGCCATCAAGTCGACTGCAACCCATGGCAACCCTACAGGATAGAGTACAACTGTCCCATGGGGTTTCCTAGGCTGTAATCTTTACGGAAGCAGACTGCCTTATATTTCTCCTGTGGATCGGCTGGTGGCTTGGGAACTGCTGACCTTTTGGTTAGCAGCCAAGTGCTTAACCACTGCTCCTTTTCTCCAGAATAGAGGGATAAAATTATCTTTAAAGACACCGGAGGAAATTGCTGCTACAGTGCTGCTGTCTCATTTCTAGAGTAATTCTGATTCCCTAGAAGTTGATTAATGCCTAATAAGGGAGACAGAAAAATGGATTCTGGCCTACATGGTTGTCTGAGACTCATCAATTCTTCTAAGTGCTCCACACTATGAAAGGGCAAGGAAGTAGGAAGGAGATTGATTTAAAAAGAACTTTCTAATTCAGTTCTCCAGATCAAAACCTGAAAAAGCCAAAGGATTCTGAACCACCAATATGAAATCTCAGAAAAATATCAGACCTGTAATTATTTCACTTTTTTTTTTTTTTGGCTTGCCTTCCAGAATAAAGTCTAATTAAACTGATTTGCTTCCAGTCAAGCAGGGTTCAAAAGAATCCTTTAGTTACAACAAGGCTTCTACCACCATTCCACTGTATGAGGAAATCTGCTACTAGATTCCATCTGAAGAAGAATCTGAACAGGGAACAACTGACTCGAACAGTCTGTCTCTCCTGAACCAGTGGTAGGTAGCCTTTTGAAGGAGATCTGTGGAAATCCTCCATCATGTTTTCCTGTGGCTTGATGATCAGATCCCTCAGAGCTTAGTATTGAAACTAATTGCAGCAGCTTCCCTCCGTCTAGGTTTTCTGACAGGATTATTCTCCTTTTTCACTTTCATGATTTGACAGGTTTTTTTTTTTTTTTTTTTAACTCACTCGAATTATTTTCACTTTTATTCTACCTTGGTCTTTTTCTGGGCAGGTTTAAATCCTTCTTGGAAGTAAGCAAGGCACAAATAGATAGATCGATCTAGTGATAACACTGTCCATAAGATCTTTATGTCTGAAGAGTGTTTATTGTGATTCAGTACCATTTTCTGGGGGCTAACACTTATTCCTGAGCTTCTGGGATATGGGCTTATAAACGAGAGAGCCGTACATAAGCATGTAGGGACCTTTGTATTTGGTTAAGTCCAGTTTCAGTGTAAAATCATATTCCTTCATGTTAATCAGGGATGCACTCAGACACAAAATAATTCCTTAAACCACCAGGCACTGTATACAGGCCTAGAGGCCTCAATGAAGAATACAGAATAGTTTTCTGTCTTGTATTTAATTTTCAGATGAATTTGTATTCTGATCTAACCTGAAGAAAGGATCCAGAAAGGTATTTACTTACCCCTCCAAGGACTGTCAGTGTTGTGGTTTCTGGTATCAGTGCCAACACAGACACAATAATCATGAATACTGTTGTCACCAATGAATTGATAACATCCTGAAAACCCAGAACAGAAAGACCAGCTTTACACGATGATCACCAAGCAACACTTAAAAAAAAAAAAAAATCAGTTCCGAAAGATTTTGAAAGTTCTATTTTATTAAATAAATTAATTTACATGTATATCTTTCAGGAAACCAAACTGCCACAGTAAAGTGACACCTATGTTGTATTTGGTCTAAAATGATACCTACTGGTTCTCTTTGTCTATAATTTGTTTGTTGTTAACACCAGTCATTTAGCCACTTAACCAAGCTGAGTTACTTTTTACTTAACATAAATGTAGTTGGAGGGAGAACTGATCTGCTTAGGAAAGAAAGTGGATGAGAGGCAACGTTGAAGGGAAGTGGGTACACTGGGAAGCTAGTGCTCACTTTAAATAATGTAAATGTGTAGTAGTATACATGGCAAATCAAACAACTTTACAGTGACACAAAGATGCAGTTAATAAAACTAAAACCAGTACGCACTTAAGAAAATAGTAACTTTCAGGAAAAATATCCCACACAGCTGTCGGGCATGTTGTTGCATGCTGTGGAATGGATTCGACTCATAGGGACCCTATATGACAGAGTAGAACTGCCCCATAGGGTTTCCTAGGGTCTAATCTTTATGGGAACAGATTTCCAGGTCTTTTGGTGTGATGGAACGGTCAACCTTTGGGTTAGCAGCTAAATGCTTAAGCATTGCACTACCAATGCTCTTTCTATTGGGCATACACTTTGACAAATGCAATGGCTGGCAATTATATTATTATTTTTGATGATAAAGCTCATTTGTTTCAAAATTTCCCAAAATAAAGTTTTCACTCTTAACTATGGTTTTAAGATGTGAGACTTACGTTTTGAATGGATGTATAATGTGAGAAAAATAAATAGTCCGTATTCTAGAAGGTTTATATTATTATTTTTTTAAAACTGTGATTTGGGTGAAAGTTTACAGAGCAAATTAACTTTCCATACAGCAGTTCACACACACGTTGTCTCATGACATTGACTACAATTTACCCGAATGCAACAGCTCCCCTCCCACTTCCTCCTGATAGTTACCTCTTCCCTGTGTCCATCCCTCCATGCACTCCTGCCCCTTGAGCTGTCTCCCTGCACATAAACAGCCCTTCTTTCTCCCATGGTTATTCTCTCCAAGGAGTGTATCTACCTCAGGTAAATGTTCAACTCATATGCCTGTCTTTTGTTTGGCTGGAAGCCATAGGTGGGTTCAATTCCAGACCTGAAGGGCAGCTAGGGAC